TATGAGCAAACAAGTCATCAGATCCAAACGTTTTTGATTGTGGGCCAGTTTTCACCAACAAATCATCAAATTCAACAAACACACTTCCCCTGTGAAAAAGTAAAAATCTTCCTAGTTTTTAAATTCTTTGCCACTGACTTGCTGTCTTCTGTCTTTTTGGTTTACCTATTCGATTACGGTAAATGTTTTCATCAACTAGTAATCAATGTAGGTCAAGTAGTTCAAAATGTTCAAAAAGGCAGCGATATTTAGTGTTCAAACTATAAGAAAAAGGCTCTTACTTTTTTATTTCATAGTGGGCCATTTAAAAAAGGGCAGAGGGCAGTAGTTTGGCCTGCGTGCCGTAGTTTGGCCACCCAAGGCTCAGATGCTTCCAACTAAAAATGTATCCGTGATCACATACAGAACGCCAAAAATGATATGACACAGACATTCATAAATGCCGAAAGTCACCACTTAACACGGTCACTCGTCTAACTGAAACACCTGTTGCTCTCCAACAGTCGGGAGATCCTGTCTGTAGAACTTGAGTTCGCTGTTGGAGTATCGATTCTGACAACAGAACATGCAACAACCAGACATTTTGATTCTACTTTTAATTTTAATTAAATGTTTAAAGCTTGCTAACTTGTCCGGATGTGTGGTGCAAAACGCGATTGCCGTTGTGAACATATTTTTTACAACGTGAGCTGTAGCAGGGTCTATGCATTTGCAGTGCAATATAAGCACAGTGCTGTATCTTGTTTCCTTATGCTGCAGTTGTATGAAAACCATTTTCACGGTCACCCATCCTTTCATCCATACGGCGCTCCAACTCAGCTGTAAAATCTGCAGTATAGGTTGAACATAACTTGTCATACTGGATTCTTCAAAATGCGCTCCAAGCACCGACCTTGTACACATTGACAATAGACAGATGATTCATTCAAGTTGGAAGTCATGATGTAACTTGAAGCAGATCATACTTTCCAGAGCCTTTCTGTATTTAAGAATATTGCTTTAGGGGGCGCAGCAGCAACCTGCAGCTTCACCCTTATTCTCACAATTTATAGATAAGGCCTGTGAATCGTGTTTGTCATTTTTAAACAGCGGGTCAACACGGGTGGTTAACGCGGATATACGAAGAGGCATCAGTATTAAACTAAGATGGCTTCATAACCAGTTTAAAGTAGCCTCATAGTAACTTGAACCAAAGCTGAACTGAAGTGTGAAATTGACACAATGTGTGCACTGCAAATAGAAAAGAAAAGAGAAATACTACATGAGCGTAAACTATAGAACCCATGTGTGTGCGTGAAGGTGGCTTACTGACATTCGAGTCAGCTGTGTGGCACAAGGTACTGCTACTGGCAGAGCATATTGATGAAACACCTTTCTCTTACACATTAGATAACTATGTTAGATTGTCAAAAGGAAAGATACCATGTGTTTTACCACCTGTACACCACCACTGGACCATGGCTCATAGCTGCAAGACCAGTAGTAGAAATTACCTTTTAACTTGTGGTTTTAAATGACACTGACTGGCAGGAGGTGACGGTGCTGTCAAGTCACACATTCTTAGCAGCAGAGCTGTGAAACCTGCGGAGCAAGTTCTCCAGCCTTGACTCTGAACTGTCACATCTCAGATTTTTCATTTCAGTGATTATATAAAACATTATACATATCACTTTCATGTTTTATAGTCTGGTTGATTATTTGTTTTATTCACTTATTTTTACCCAAAACACAATTTTAAAAGATCGTGGTTTGGGTTATAAAATAAGGTAAAATAAGTCATCGTTGACTTAGTTTCACCCATTGTGAAAATATATTACAACAATGTAATCCATCAATTTACACCTCAGGATATTTTCATATAAATGATAAAATCTCCAGTACGAAAAAATTGGTTTTACCAAAACTGAGATTTACATTGGCTATTTATTTAGGCAGGCTTGTTTATTACTTTGAGTTTGATGTTTAGTTCCAGATTCATATCCAGTTTGTACAGTCTGTAATAGACTCAACAATTCAGATTGATTTATTTTTTCACGGGGGGATTGAATGGCAGCAGGGTATCGGATAATTAATTGGCTATCGTCTTATTATTAAATAGTTATTATGTTTTTATGTCGGCCTTTAAAAATCCACAATGGGTGTACCTCTGAAATCATTACCAATAATAGTAATAGGTGACTCCCAGGAATGTCACTGCCGAGCAGTGTTTACACTGTAGACAAACATATCAACAAGGGTTGGGTACACAGAACCAGTTCTGAGTTGGAACAACATGAACTAATTGAGTCGGGTTCGTGACAAAACGTATCGTAAGCTGAAGACAAAAGGTCACTGCATAGTGTCACATCGTCAGCAACTATCAGTGTCAGTATAAACAAACTTTTGGTTTCACTTGGTACACGATCGTTCGTCTCCTGACCAAAAGTCCTGTGTTTGTTTTACCCCCATCCACTAGCCTCCCATCTGTGGACTTCTCTCCCTTAAATACTACACCTGTTGCTTTGTGTCTAATCCCCATGCGGATGGTTTAACGTTGGAGTTATTTGAAAGCCTGGTGCGTCTCATACTGTTGTTCTGATTGGTATTTGATGCCCTGGGAGTAAGACCAGGCTGACCAATGCCAAATTCCAAAGAGTGAACATTCAAAACCTGCTTTTTCTCATTGCCATCCTCTCTGACAGTCAAACATACAATATTGACAATATCAGTGCACCTGGTGCACTAGCTTTAGGTTCCACCATTTCATTTGAGTGTAAAATCCATTGACCTTAAACATTCACACTATGGAATGAAAATAAAGTTCCCTGGCACGTACTCCGTCCTGCAATGCTATGTGTCACATTTAACCCTCCTGTCGTGTTTCGTTACTTTAGTGTTCCCGGTCAAATTTGTCTGTTTTAACTGCTCTTACAAAAAACATTATTCATCACCAAATTTTATTTAACACCGTTTTAAGCTGTAAACAATGTCTCAGACTAGTGGTTTACATGAACAACTGCTGTGAATATACAAAGAATAGACACTGAAAATGTATCGCTAAATGAAATGAAACTGTTGTAAGGACATTGTTGACCGGAATCTAGGCCTCCCGGACTCCGCATCCCACAGACTTTTTCTAGCCTCATTGTTTGACCGCTATACTCTTGCTAGAATCAACAGAGCCATGTAAGCTTGGAGGTCTGGTCCAATGCTCTCCACGTGTCCACAAACACACGCCTCCCTTCCAGGTTTGTCATGTCCAGTGTAATACCCTCAATGGACTCTGGTAAAAAGAGTTGGAAGCTGGACTTGATGTCATCCACACGAGATGTTGCATAACGTGTTGGCCCTAGCATCATCCTTATTATGTTTTCAACTCTCTCTCTGCCTCCTCTGTGCTGGGACGATGAATACCAGAGCAAGTTGCCACCCTTGGACTGGAATGTCTCCTGAGGTGCCTGCTCCTCTGGTGCCATTTCCTCACCATCTGTTATAATAGCCCGGATCGAAATAAGGATCAATGTTATCTTCAATTTCTGAGACATCTTCGTCTATCTCCGGTTCAAACTCCTCTTCATCTGGTTCAAAAATTAGGTCCAGAGCCTCTCTGACAGAAAATTGCCTCATCAGTGGCCTAGTCATTGTGCTCACAGAGTAAAATGAGAGCAAGGCACAAATAAAGGTTTATTTAGGGGGAAAGTGAGAAGATATGAAACATTGTTTAGTCTGGAAGGTGTGGTTCACGTGGGGGGATGGGCACATAAGCGTGGTATAGAGATGGGTTCCCATAAGAAACACCTGATTTTTTGTTTGAAGTTTTAAATGTGTACAACTTTATATATGGGGCTGTGAACAGGTGTTCACACAGGTCTGTGTGTGTGTGTGGGAGGGGTGGTGGTTGTGGGTGTGTATGGGGCATAATCTAGTATTTCCCATTCATTTCCTATGGCGGTCACTTTTGACTGGGAACACCATGGGTGTTACAAAATTGACTAAACCACTAAAAATTCAATGAAAGTGGTGATCAGCAATTTAATATGTTCAAATGCCTAGTGTGGAGGATATCATGAGGCCTTGAGGCAATCAGATGTAAAACACAATATTTATGATTGATTAAAGTTGTAAATCGGTCAGATTTGACCCGAACACGACAGGAGGGTTGTAGGTTGGTAAATGCGCCTACACCTGACAGTGATGATGATGGGAAAATTATAACTTAAATTTCAATGAACTGCAGACTGACAATATGAAGTGAAAGTAAGTGAACTGAATGAATGAACCAGCGTCAGCCAGTGTCTACGTATATCTTCAGTCTCCAGACGGGCTTTCCTTGGGCATTGTTGAGATTTGGGCGGTGTGCAGCCTGCTGTCGGCTTGTGTTAAGGGTTGAGTTAAGTGTGAAGAGTGGTTGGGCTCGGCTTTGTGTGTTTCCCAGCAGCCTTAATAGTTTTAGGCGTAATTGCTTTGCCAGAAACTTAAAACCCTCCTAGGCACCTACTTAACTTTGTGCCTTCTGTTGATTCATGTGAACAGAATGAAAGTAATTCACCGGCGCAACAACTGACAGTCTATTGTTGACACAATGGATTCATCTAGAATTCTGAGTCACTGTCGTTCTCTTGGTGCTTTGTGTTATCAACTTTACTGTGTTTCCAACTTCCTGCTCGTGCCACTTTAAGAATGTTCTCTCATGACTTGTTTTGAGGAGATGAAAAACAATGTATTTGATAGCCTATTATCTTAACTTATCTATCTTTTATTGCTTCACACATTCCTACGGGTACAAACATGAAGTAGCTTATAAAATCAGTCAAGGAAGCTGAGGGAATTATTAAACCTGTTGAGCTACCCTTACTATATTACAGGAAGTGAGCTGCGCAGCACATTTCCCATAGTTCCACTTGCCTGTTGACAGCCTCCACATTACACTGCTGACTTCTGTATTGGCATGTGTTCCCTGAACACAGGAGTGGATACATACATAGAAGTGCAAGAGAGAGGATGGTAAGGAGCTACGTTTACATGTCTGTGTGACTTTATTGAAGAGGCTTTTTTCAGTGTTTGTGTTTTCAGGTTTGAGCTCACTGAGGCTGGCTGTTTACAGACAGCTTGACCTCTTCTTTTGTGATTGTGTAGAAATCATTTGCCACGGTGCCTTTTCAACAAACCGTAGCTTTGAAAATGTGTGTGTGTTAAATGACTGGTTATTGTGAAATAGTTTTCCCTACTGCACAGTATTTACTGTATGTTTTCTGGGAAGTTATTTTGTATTGTTGGCTTAGTGTTGGTACCAATACTTTTGCAAACTGACAAGTCAAATATGAATCATACACAATTATTCCTTGACATTAAAGAGGGTCAAAAGAAATTACATTTATTCGTCTTCGGGGATCAAAATGTGTTTCTGAAAGCTGGAATATACTCAGTGAGTGTTTGATGTGTGACATTGTGGCGGGTTGATAGTTTTCATTTTTATCATTAGCTGTGCAGTTCTTTTCCTAGTTTTGACCAATTATTAATCTAGCAGAAATAAAGGTGTCATTTTCATGGCATTAACACTAGTATTTTTAATACTTGACTCACTCTTTTATTCCCGGGAATGTGTAATTATTACAAAAACAGTGTAGAAAAATGACGTGACTGTGACTACAATGACCATGAGTTCCTTTTGTGAAGCGTATGAAAATATTTCTCATTTGTTGAATGCGATGGGTCATATCAACAGGAACTGGGACAGGGTTTGATAAGACCTGATGGTTAATTCTATGGATTGATTAGGTTTGAGAGAATAACTGAAATCAGTTGGGACGATTTCGGAAAAAAGGAAGAAATCGTCTACAAAAAGAATTCCAACTTTGCAGCAATATCTTTTGAGCCAGATGCAACCTGGCGGATCCGACTGACCTTAACATCCCCAAAGTGTGGAGAAAGCATAAACAGATTCTGCATAAGAATGCAGAATATTTGTACAGAGATTAGGAGACAGGTGACTAGTCAGAGGCATGGAGGATGACAGATAATGACATTGTGTGTTCAGCAATGGAAACCCCTTGCTCATCCAGAACTTCTCGAACACCTTGATACCATGCGGTGACAAGTAGCCCGCCGCACAGTTATTTTCCTTGCGTACAGCGTTCCAAGGATCATCATGCTACGGAGTGGGATTAACTGGAGCAATCTTTGGTTTGGCTCCCAACCGAGTCCTTGGAGCTTCGGCTGGAGGAGCAGGCTCACTGTAGAGTCTAGCTCTCTGTAACACTTGCAGAGCTTGTCACCCAGAACTGAGATTCTTACCTCCAGTTGGGCGATCTTCTTGCTTTAGTTCTTTGTGTCCTTTGTTCTCAGTGTGAATGTGTGTGACTTTGCCTGCCACATCCCAGAATGTAGAATATGGGTCCTAAAAGGGGTCTGGCTGGGTCGGCGCTATGCAAAACCTGCCATGCATTGTCCAGTTGTCCGTTGGCATACTCTAGTCTTTGAGGGCCAATGCATAACCCGGATAATCAGATTCTTCTTGTGAAAATGTTAAGTTGAAGTCACCAATACTTGCTACACATGACTCTCTATGGAGTTAACTATTCAGTGTCTTTCATAAAGCAAGTAGTGAATGAGGGAACAAGCGAGTGATTCTGGACAGAGCCCTCTGTTGCAAGCTTTCTTGCCTGAAAACACTGGTAGCCAGACGCACTAAGCGTCATCCTTTTCAGCCAATGAAGGCCAAATTTCATCATAAAACCACAGCATCTTTTACTGCATTTTGTTTTGTTCTGATCAGATTGCTGGATGTTGAATTCAGGATATCTTGACATGATCTTTGAGAGGCTCTTAATTCACATACCTTTAAATTACGTAACAACAGCTCCTTTGTTCAGAGCAGTACTTAACAAAGGAGGTATTGTCACCTGAGAGCCAGCCTCGCACTTATCTCACTGTCCCCGCTGTCAACACATTGTGTCTTTGTGCCATGTTAAATGCAGCACTATGGGTCATCTTTCAGCATTCACTTGGGCCAAACAAGCACATTAAAGTGGCAAAAGACAATTTTTCAACTTTCCCCCCTAAACGACTGGATTGCTTTCCCTTTTCCTCATAGCCTACTACTAGGGACAAATTTAGACAAATGAGGGAAAAAGCAAAAAACATATCAAAATATATGATATTGTAATTCAGTGCTTAGTTAATCGCATTCCACGGCTCTTCTGGCAACAGCACAGTGCCTTTCCCTAGCTGCAACCAACGCAACCACAAAGCTTTACTCAAATGAATGCACAATAACGTCACCAACAGGCAAGTGAGCGTTTGATAATCATCTGGTGACATGTATACATTTGGATCTATTCCCAGCTAATTTCTATGAGAAAGAGTTGCACAGGTCACACAGTATTTTGTTTTCCACAGTTACTCCGGTTGTTCCAGTGTTCACCATTTCCACCATTGGAGATGATAACAAAGAACTAACATTCATACTCTTTGGTGACTGGGGAAGGCTACGACAGTTACCGGGGAAAACAAAACAGCTATACTCTAAATATTTTGGTTGCACACAAGAGAATTGCATAGTGAAAGCCAACCAATTAAAGGTAACCAATCTAAATGCCATCGGTGTCATTATTCCACAGCCATTAGATGGTGAAATCAACATCGTTACTTCATAATGATAAGTTAAAGAACTTTTTAAAAAAATGTATCTTCATCTAAATAACTGCATGTCTCAATCACTTCCAGTTGTGAACAGGTCACCATTCTGGCATCCTACAAATGATAAATCCTCCACTGTTGTGCCATCTAGCCAAACTGGATCTTGTTGAGCCACAGCCAACATGTGGAAGCTTTTCTGTCCAGTGCAGTTAAAGTCAACTTGAAGAGGAAAAGTCATTAAATCCGTGTTTAGAGGTAAACGATGCAGGGTTTGTGTTTATTGTCTCTAGATAAAAAATACATCTGATACCTATGTCACACTTGGCAGCACAAGTAGTTTCAGGAGTCAATGCTTCCTGGTTTCACCCAAATACCAAGAAATATAAAGTTACCTCAAGGTCACTGGCATTTTAGATTTGATGATATTTGTTTCACTTGACTGAAAGCAAACAATAAACACTTACAGTGACTTATAATCACATTATAATGCATCATGACATGAATATAATGAATCATAAAAAAGATGATTATGTATTACAACTGTGGGAATTATGATCCTTGCGCACACGCATGTCCCTGAGTCACCATCAATTATGAAGTATGTTTATACTTGACCTTATAAGTCATTGTAAAATTATTTTGAAAGAGTTATGATTATTAGTGTAGTAACACTACTACACTTTATTACTACAATAATACAGTGCTATAAGCAGATTATAAAGCATCATACGTATGTTTATAATGCCCATGTGTTTCCAACACTCGCTGAGTCATCGGCAGCTCCCTCACAGCTTGTCCCACGTTAAACAAAGGATTGGGGGGTCTAGCTAATGTCTTTCCTGGTTCCATTTGTGGTGATGGGAAACAACCAGGCCATGAGGACTTGCAGGATGTGCTGTAACTCCAGCACTAGGAATGCAACCCTGTGATTTCATGTCACCGATGCAACAAAGCAACAGCTGACAATGCCCCTTCTAGTTAATTGCCCGTGGTTGAGATTACCGTAAGTGATGCTGCAAACGGTTAGTACCTGCCCACGCAGGTATTGCAGCAATGAAATAACGACACAAATATTGTCATGCGGAGCCAGTTATCGGAGACAATAGACATGCTCCCTAGCTCCCCTTTAAACCCTCAAGTAATGAATCCTTGTATCTTGGACTGTTTAAAAATACAAACAATAGGCTGTGAGGCAATGCAGCCAGTATGCTAAAGCTGAATAGAATCACTATGTAACTTATTGTTATTTTTTTCTGTCCCTCCCAATCTTTCTTGAAAGGAATGGCAATACCTAAGCATGGCTTGGTCATCATTGCCCTTCTACTGACAACTATTATTTTGGAAACAGGGAACTTCTCACGTCACTTCTTACCGGTAGGTCCACTGCTGAACGGAAAATATGGGATCAGAGGTTTTAATTCATAACACAAAGCAACTCTCTGAACGCGTGTTCTGTTTTCTCAGGTGCAGTACGAAGAAGAACACTTTGTATCTCACATTAGGGAGAAAAGGACTGGTGAGTCCCATTAATGAATATGATATGAATATTGGGAAATACACTTATTTGCTTTATAACTCATAGTTAGATGAGAAGATTCATAAATATAACTCTGTTTGTCCGCACATGTCCACAGCCAGGAGATTGGATCGCTTTTGACATGAATTGTTCTAGTTAGGGGAAAAAATAGCTGACCTGAAGTCTCTTTTTGTTGCTGTTGTGATGACGTTTCAAGGAAGTCACCGTTTTTTTTTCACCTTGGTTTTATTGACTAAACAAACACTATACAGCATGTTAATCAGTCAGCTTTATTTTGTGGGCAGTCTTTATGCTAAGCTAGGCTAATTGTCTCTTGGTTGTAACTCTTCAATGTACCGACATGAAAGTGCTGTCAATCTTCTCATCTAACGCAAGAAAATTAATACGCGAATTTCCCAAAAATATCCATCTATCACTACCTTGTATATCATGCATGCATGGCTGTCATGTGTTGTTGTTTTTCTAATCTCATTTCAATCTTTTGCAGTAACTACAGACCAATGGAATTACATCATTGAGGTCGTAGTGAATGTCCCTAATGTAGAAACAATCCAGCAGATTCGGTCCGCCTTGAATGCTACCAGTTTTCCCAAAGCACTTGATAACAGCACAGAGATCTCTGACATTAACATCACCACAGGTGAGTAGCTTGAGCATCAAGCCTCGGCCTTCTTTCAACGAGTCAAAGACAAACATGCTACCAAGCTCTATATTGTATAAACACAAAATCTACTCTTCTGACAGTGTGCTCCGCAATTGAAGCTGGCTTCCAGTGTAGATGTGAGGAACATTTTGCTTTGCCGAACAGCATTTGTGTCACGTACGGAGCCTGTGATGGAATATCCAGTGGCATCTGTAAATGCATCCACGGCATTCCAGCTGATGGACAGTTCTGCCAGTCAATATCAGGTAATCAAGTTGTAACTTATAATTAGGGGTGTCCCTGACTAACAATTAATGGAGAGGGTAACAAAGCTAAAATGAGAGTGAATATTGGACTTAAAATTCATTAGTTTCACACAAACACCCTCCAAATGGCTGTGTCATGACAAGTGACAAATGTTATGTTCGCATCACCTTTCATGAAGTTAATATGGCAAAGCTGATATGGAGCTAGTGTTTTAATAATCTGTCTATGGCTGGTTTCTGCTGCCCCTTTATGGTTAAACATTTTTTTTGCAGATTTAAAAACACTATGTAGACACTCCCAGCAAAATCAGTATAAATGAATTAATGAAATTGATATATCACAAAAATCGATGTTAATGTGGAGGTTTGTATTACACTGGCCCAACCACCGTCACTACTTTAGGGAGAAAGACATGATCCCTCACTGGCTTCCCACCCCATTGAACTAGGTTCCTGTCTTACTAGCTGAATGTATATGCCAGTGAAATTTGAGTGTCCCTGTCTGTGCATTAAATGCCAAATTGATATTTGCTTTTGAGGGTTGCACTGATGAATAAAGCTCATTGTACAAACCGATTGTTTTTCATACAGCGCTGCTAACTGAGGTTGAGTATGCAGTGGACGTGGAGCTGAATGTTACCGACATTGAGATGGTGGACTACCTTAGGGGCCTCCTGAAGCGCGGTGCCTTCACCCTGGCCTTGGGTCCCACTGTCAACGTCACACACATTGACATCACCACAGGTGAGAATGGAGCTTCCTCTGGTCGGAAACACCAATGGAGGCAAATTTTTGTGAGTCAAGGGGCAGTAAAGTGTGCAGTTTACCTTTTCACAACAGTTGACAGAGTGATTAATTCCATTCAATCCATTCCGAATGGATTTCTGTGTATGTTGCTATTTTCTTTCATGAAGACATTTGTCATATTAGATATAATATTACAGTTTGTTACAGGAAGGACCCTGGTTATCCTCTGCATTAATGCACAATGTAATGTCTCACCTATTAACTCCAGATATCTGAAAGATGTGATAAAGTAGCTGAAGTCATGCACCTGACTTTCCCCTTATCACAAGCAGAGAGAGGCATGGAGTTTACTTTAGCACTGGTCAAATATTTCTGAACTGTAAAAAAAAACAAACACCAACACCGCGTGAATTGAAAAGTCAACATTAAATGACGTAAAAAAAAGATTATTATTTATTTTATGCCAAACTTTGATTGCCTGAAACTAAGTAATTTTATTGCCTTTTGTTTTTGTTACAATTTACTTCGTTTGAAACTGCGACCGAAATCCGGGATAATTGTAATTGAGAATGCAGTTCAGCTGGAAGGGTATCGTATTGTATCGATGCTGCATTCTACGGTTTACTAAACCTGTTTGCTGTTGCGTTCTTTGGGTGGAAAAGGAGTCTTATCTCCTATTTTGGCGGTTCACCGCGGTTGGGGCAGTCGCAGGCACCAGTTGCCTTTGTCCCCCTAAGTACAGACTTCGGGATGCCCGGTGCGGTGCGGGGGCCCTTGCATATATGCGCTTATTTTTACAACAACAAAAAATGCTATCAAAAACTATCAAGGCCTGCACACACGCACAAGTTACAGTTTAACAATATCAAATCCTGCAGTCCGCAGAGACCAAATGGCCTGTGAATGATTGATCAAAAAGGTGTGTCTCATGTTCCTCGTAGTGTTCAACCAAGAGTGAAATGTATGAAACTGCATATATTTTAACACTTTTACTCACCTGTGTGTGTGTGTGTGTGTTGTTTTGTTTAGTGTGTTTCCCAAATGGTACCAACTTCCAGTGCAGGTGTGAGGAACAGTATGTTTGGTCACATGACAACTGTATCACATACGGAGCCTGTGACGAGATCATTGGGGACACGTGCGGGTGCATCAACAGTATTCCTACCAATGGGCAGTACTGCCAGCCACAGACAGGTGATTTTAAAGGTTACTTTATGCTTAATTTAAGGTTAATTATTAAAGGTGTTCTTTTACATTTCAGCTGCATCTTGATGTTTTTGTTCTATATGGAAATAAATGCATCTTTAAGTATTGTAATACAATAGCGTGGCTGTTCGTTCTTGAGCATTGAAAACTTATGCAAAAAAAAAGAATTAAAGAGTTAAGATCGTTCAGAACTTTCAGCTGAATTTCACAGTCTTAGCTCGGGTGTCATCACATGACCTTGATTTGAAACAAAAATAATCACAAAGAAATTAGCTTCTAATTACAGTCTCTTTTCCAACTGTACTTCCAGTGTTCTATGAATACCAGATCTTCATTGAGGTGAAAACCACAGAGGCAGATCAACTGAGGAACACCCTAAACAATATACCTTTCCCTGTCCAAATCAGCTCCCAATTACTCATCACAGAGGCTAATATCACTACAGGTAAGAACACGGAGATTCTAGTCTATGTCTATCTTAAACTGTTTTACCTTTTCATAAGAGAAAATACAGTGGGTTTTTTTTTTGCTTTCAGTTTGCAGCCAAGACCTCACTAGGATCCAGTGCCAATGTGAGGATGACTACCTTTGGCCTTGTGACAAGTGTGCCACCTATGGGAAATGTGATGGTAATACAAGCAGCACATGTCGGTGCATTAAAGCTTTTCCCATAGATGGACAGTACTGTCAGTCAATAAGCAATCAAAGTGAGTACTATGATCGCATTCTGATTCCAATTTTAATGCCCAAAATTAAAATATTTTACTTTTCTTTAATTTAATTTGTAAATCAATTCATGACATTAATAAGTGACATATCTTTTGTTTCTCTCTACAGACTTTACGACGTGTCCTCAGACAACAACGTCACCATCAACAGGTAAAGCTGAGAAGACGCTGCTGTTTCAATCAGAAAAGAAAATGCACAACCGAGACTCTTGTTAACGCTTTTCTTTTCTCTCCACATGATCAAACTACTGCAACTAATTGTTCTTTTATTTTCTTCTTTTTATTTGCAGTTCCACCGGTTCTTTATGAATACGTCATTTCCGTTGAGTTGAACATCTCAGATGTGACACTAATAAATGCACTGCTGTCCATTCTGAGCAACATCATTTACCCTGTCAGCATCAACAATGACGTGCAAATCTATGGTGTCAACATCTCTACAGGTAAAGATGGTCGCTTCTGTCGTTTTGGTTTTCTTGATTCAAGGTTCTTTTCCAGTTATTATGTGAAATGCATGTCTCTACATTCATAATATTGTGTCCAGTACTGTCCTTGACTAAAAAGAAAAAAAACATTTATTTTGTTAATGCAAAGTCATGTTGGCCATATTGTTCAAATTAACATCTAATTATCAATAGTTCACAGTTAGAAAAACATATTTAGCTCCCACACGTGAAATTCATTGTGTTTTGGTATCCAGGTTGCTCTCTGAGCAGCGGTGGTCCAGACTGCAGCCTTTCCTTGCCACCGTGGCTCCAACATCCTGTTTGTTACTCATGCAAACTCTGTGAACACAATCAAGCTTTTGTCTTTGTAGGGAGTGAACTTTTCTTCACCTTTGATTTAAGGGTTACAACTCATAAGTGCATATATACTTTGTATTGGTGATTGGTTAATACATCTGAATTGAATAGATCAGATTAAGGATACAAATACACAAGATCACATTCAGTCTAATACAAGAACACATTTTCCTACCACATTTCCCCCCTCGAGTGACTGTTGTCACTCTCTCTGGAAAATGCTAAAACCTCCCGCTGGTCTTCTGGTCCATGTGCTTTGCGCACAGTAGAGAACCACTCATGCAAATGGTTACTGGCACCTCGTGGCTGAATGCATGAGTTTGTTGTTGTCTTCAGAGGTTTGTCATTCTTAGCTATATTCTATTGATTAAAATCCCTAGCCCTATTTTTAGGCCTCTGCTCGAAAATTGCATACCCATACTTAAAGACTGTACATCTGAAACTACAAGTTCTATTTTAATAATTTTGATGGTATAATACAGGTAAAACTTGTGAGAGACTTATTCAGATGTGTAAATATTGTGTATATGTTACTGGTTAATAGTGAATGAAGATGGCACACAGCTCAAATTGAAAAGTGTCAGGTTCGCCCGAAAAAAAAGCACTTTTATTGAACATTTTTTTTTAAATAATGCAGATTGAATCCTAAAATTACTCCACAGTCATAGTACAACAGGTTTGTGGTCTCTCTAAGCTAATTTTACTTAGATTGAGTGAAGCAGGCCAGCATAATAGGCGGTCTGAGTACAGAATTTCAATCCGAATTCTCATTTCTCTCTCATGCTCTATTCTAATTTTATATACTATATAACTATATATTTCACTTTTGTTATCACTCATATTATTCAATACATCCAAATACAGCCGTTTGAAATCATTTTGAGACAAGAGTCCTGTTAGAGCCTGTTTCTGGCTCTCATGCATAGGATTTTCTCAGTTGGTCTGTGTGTATGGGGCTGTAGCTCAGCCTATCATCGGTCGATTTCAGTCAATGAGCCCTCCTTCGACGCGTCAGAGTCTCAGGAAGGCGGGTGCCGAAGCGGGTGTTGATTGACATAAGTTTTAGTGAGTAAAGTTGCAAGAAGTGCCGCGTATCCCCAAGCGTAAAATTCCATTGGCCGAAATTCTGACCGCTGGCCCGAGGTGGGTTGACCCCCCTTCCACAGGAAACAGCTTGGCTGTAAGCAGGATGCGCTTAGCGGACATGACGGTAGCTTGAAAACGGACAATTTTCGATGTTTTTGTACTAATATTTCATAAAACGTGACCACAAACCAAGGATTTTTTCCGGTGGAGACCAGCACCATGGTACCTTTGTCCACTCACAGCGTTCTACTGGTTTCACGGAGAGAAAAACCGAAGGTATTTATGCTTTCTGTGTCAAATGCTAATGCTAAACGATGTGCGGATTAGCCGGCTAGCTGCTAGCTTCGTGGTGGAAATATTGATTTGAGGCACATATAACGCCGATTTCTGCCCAGGATTTCATGATTTTATGCCATATTTTCTAGATGCTTATATTAGTAGTCTATAGTTGTGTTTGGAGTGTGTAAGAAGTGACTTATATGATAGTGTTGCCCATACGTTGCAGTTTAATCCGGTAAAAAAAAAGTACACATGTACAATTCTGGCGAAAAATGTCCATTTTCCGAACAATATTTTCAGGGGTGGTGAGCCCGAGCGGCCCCCAAATGGGCCAGAAGGTTAACTATTACAGTCTTAAGTTAACACACAACTTAACTATAGGCTACCTATATATATATATTATTGTTATATAACATTTTAGATGATTACATATTAACCCTACTTATGTCACTTAAGGTGACCAACTGTTTAATGCTGAATACGCTGTTTTTTAGGCCCTATACACCTAAGAGTAATGCAAGCAGATTACATATTGTTATTACTGTTACATCGTAGGTGGTTAGCTATATGACCTATACGTGTCATTACATGAGTGTATGAGGGTTCTAGGAGTAGTTTGAACTACCTTATGGTTACTCCTTGAGGGTGGCTTCTTCTGCCCATTGCAGTGCTTTTGGTTGCTGAATAGTTTGAGTACCCAGGTATTATTTCTAACTGGGGCAAGGGGCTGCTATTTCTTTACGTGTGTCATAATTCATACAGATTCGCTGATGCCTGCTAATTATCATCATCATTATCAAGTGCCATCAATCTCTCATACTCAGTCTGGTACATTTTACTCAATTTTTCTATGTGTGTAACTATGGGGAACGGGTGAGTTGAGTACAGAACGAAAGTACCATGTAGTGGGACTACACAGCTTTTTATCTCATATGTAGTGGTCACTAGTAGGCACACTCTGTTAGGACCATGACAGCCCTGCTGCAACTCCCTTCTCTGATCATATTGACACCTGAGGCTATATTATTTAACTTGGATGCTGGGGCAGCATTTACTAATGGAAATCACCTGTTCTTGTCGAATGATGTCCAGGGCCTTGAACACTCTTTGGCCTCCTGGTAGACTGTCTCAATCAGGAATTGGTGCTGGGTATCCACAGTATCTATACTGCGGCATGACCGGCCTCCTGTTATCCGCCTAATTGTTTGGGAATTTGATGGAGTGACCGTCTCCCTAACCCTTCTGGACTTTTCACATGGATTAGTCCCTTTCGGCATCTGCAACAATTGTAATATAGTTAGTTGTCAGTCAAGCATTAGTCCTCAAAAAAGGATTAGTCGCTAATCCGGGACCTCTTTCGTTTCATGTACTATGGATAGATTTCCAATTGTCCTTCTTGAAATATTTCTGACAGCCACTCCTATGGGGACACTATGTCTTCACAACAGTTCCTGAATGTTGCTGGACATGAGTGCTTTGGCCAGTGTCAACCTTTGCACTCTGACCAGATTGGGATATTTCCTTCAAGTGCAATATCCACTCTGATGTGGCTTTCAAGTTTCACTGATTATCTTGTCACACTCCCTGTGTGGTGGTAAGGGTCATTCATCAGTACAGTTGTGAAAGGTACATTCCATAAGTGGACCCCTCTGCTGAATTGTAAATTGTAGCTTTGCCACCCAACACTAGTGTTGCATGTTGATGAGTGGTAGAGCCTGTTACCGTTGTTATGTACAATTTGTTATTTCCTCAGTTATCACTTGGGCTCTGTTACAATATCGCCATACTCTGAAGTCTGGGTCACTGCACCTCAAACATCTGTGAGGCCGTGGTAGGTGGAATTGTAAAGTGAGCCAGTGGTCTATGAGTTGTGGATGATCATTTCTATTTCTTTATCTGATGTTGTAGTAGGAGATCTGCCACTACATAGAACCTTGCCTCCAGGTCTCTAAAATATGTTGTTCTGCCATGAGACACGTTTATTTAGTTAGACGTGGGTCTTTCCGTCAGGGCTGGTGCTCTTGGAATCATGATCTGGTTCTTGTCTTCGTTTTGCTGCTGCGTCTTGATGTCCATTGCTTTTAACTGCTGTATTATGTTCTGATAGGACGGTGGCTCTTCAGGGGAGGGAGACCTGCTGAGGGGTTCTCAGTCAGGCAATAGGTCAAGGTAGATGTAACCTGTGAGGATTCTGGAGTCCGTCTTTGATTGTGCATCCTCCATGTCTTCATACAACAGTGTCTCCCCTTGCTATCTGCTCCTCCTTGGTGTGCTCCTTTGCAGTAGCGGGACAACTTGGATTGAGTATTGTCCTTTACTTCCCATCATTTTGGTTATCATGATTTTGACACAGGGGATGAGGATTAGGACCCCATCAGCATCAGGAGCATTGTAAGTAGTGCACTGACTATGAGCGCAATGATGCGTTGACATCCTCTATCCATTATGTCCTACCATTTTTGAGACCCGTAGGGCACTCCTGTTCTTCCGTTGGGACCGAAGGCATTTGCTATTCAGTGTGTGGATGACGTGGGTCATGTTGGCGGTGATGTCTACAGCCAGAGTACAAAATGTTCCTGTTTCATTTGGATGTAGTGCAGCACACAGACCACCTTGCTTAACTAGCAGGAAATCCAGAGCCGCTACGTGTTGGAGTAGGGCCATCCACTGGCTTTTGGCTGAGTCTGACAGGAATTTGAATCCTTCTGTGGTCTCATTGGCAAACTCTTGGAGATTATATAGGTGATGTTGTCAATGTGTTCTGCCAAGAATGGGACACCATAAAATGGAAACAGTCCAATTCCACATTTCTCTCCAATTCAGTAGAGGAAGGCTTTGATGGTGATTAACTTTGCCAATGACCTTGTGACCCTTTCATACAGGTGATGTTGCTCCAAAGAGACGTCTATCACGTGATACGGCAGTTTCAACGTTGCCTGTCCGCGACATGCATTGAAGTCTCTTGGTAAGATAGGGTAGGAATGCACCACTCCATGCACCACTGATGAGTGATTACTTGGGTACACCGGAATGAGTTGTGGTCCACTGAGGCTTTTTACCTCCGTTTGGTAGATGTCGCCAAGCTTGCATCCATAGATTTGTCCCTCGTAGGCTCTTGAGTCCTCATTATGTCCCGTGACACTTTCAGACACTTACTCCCATCTGTTGTTCTGTTCCATTTCCACATCTGCACCACTGTAATTACCTGGCAAGACTGGTATTCCGGCTATCTTACCTTCTTGGGTTGTGTCTGCTTTTTGGCTGATGGTGTTGGA